TAAATCTCGACTCTCTGTGCTTCTCTTTCCCAGAGTTCTCCTGGATTCCTAGTCCCACCTATCTAGATTCCTATTGGCCAGCAGTACTTTGTTGACAAATGCACAGGACTTCCCCCCAACATGCCTTGGTCATGGCGTTTTATCACAGAAATAGAAAAGTAACTAAGACGTAAGGTTTAAAGGACTGAATTTGGAGCCGTTAGGATAGAGGTGATTTGTAGGGTGAGCCCACAATACTGTACAGTGATCCTGTTGGGCAAGCCCTGCAGATCCTTGGCAACTCTGGAAGTGGAGCAGCCTGTGTGACTGGATTCACCAGTCCCTTTACAGAGGGACAGTGGCACCTTTCCTGTATGTTAGAACCCCACTGTTCTCATTTATGCCCCTAAGTGGGCACTGTAGAACAAGCCCTTGGCGACCAGTAAAGGGAAGCAAACCCAGAGATGCAGTGTCTCCCCCTGAAGTGTCTGGCTCATCCAAGGCTGCTTGTCAGAGGAGCTACATAAAGCAGCATGACCCGCTCTCTGGTGTCAGCTCGCCCCAGTCCATCCACTCTTGGAGAGTGAAGGAAACGGAGAAGGGGGAGAAAGGGTGAAATGATGAAATCCTCGGGAACAGAAGCTGGCAGCAGAAATATAATCACCCTGGTACACTTAGGCAGCCATTTAGAGCTTGCAAAGTTGTTTTGACTCATCTCAGGAACCCAACCAGTGTTTCTCCAGGAGGAGAAACTCAGGCTCAGCAGAGTCTCTGATGTATGACTGTACCCTTGCACCTACCTCTTCTGAGTGCATGCCCCGTGAGCATCTGTGAGCAAAGCGTACAGTCACCTTCTCATGGAGCTCATGCCTCCTGGAGTTCAGAAAACCACTGCCGAAACAGGCCAGAGATGGTGCTGGCCCTTCGCTCTGGTGTGACATAATCAGAGGGCCTGAGACCCGAAGCCAACGTGACTCCAGAAGGGTGAGGGCCTGCAGAATCACTGTCAGGTATAGACCACACATGGAGGGGGGAAATGGACAACTGATACACACACAAAATGTGGCTTCCTGAATCAGAGGACATGGGGATGGAGGGAAGTTTCCAGTAGAGGACATCCCAGCTTCTGGGGCTAAGGAGATGGCTTTGTTACTGGAGTGATTGCTTGTATGAGAACCTGTGTTTGGATCCTGGCCCGGCGCTTGTGTCTGTAACCCCAGCACTGGACCGGAGAGAGACAGCTGGAGCTCACTGGCCAGCCACCCTACCTGAATCAGGAAGTTCCAGCTTTACAAGAGACCCTGTCCCAAAACGTAAGGTGAAGGGTGGCAGAGGAAGACTCCTGACATTGGTGCACACACACACTCGCACACCACACATGCTTTTCTCCGAGTTCAGTCTCCAGGAACAGCTAAGGGATGGTGCCCTGGCATGAGAGAGCACAGCCCCAGGGCAATGCCACCAAGGTGGCTGTCCTCCGAGTCAGCCTGTACTGACGGATGCCTGCCTGGGACGTCTGTGCTCATGCATAAAGCCAGGGAGGCTGGTGTTCTTGGGAACAGTGGTCATGGTGGAAAAGCCTTGGGACAGCCACATAATAGCTCTAAGGTACCCTGGAAGGTGTCTGTCACATGACCAGAGTGCTTTCTTATAGCAGCTTCTCTCATCAGCACCCTCTCCCTGCGAGAGAGAGAGAGAGAGAGAGAGAGAGAGAGAGAGAGAGAGAGAGAGAGAGAGAGAGAGAGAGAGAGAGAGAGAGAGAGTGCACAGCCTGTACCTTCTTGTTTTCAAGCTCAGCTCACCTAAGTTGATGGCTCCCAAGTGTGGATTTTGGCTGCTGGTGAGCCTGGAGAGGAGAAACTCTGAGTCATTACCTCCCAGCAACTTGAGGCTTTCTCCATCCAGCTCAGGGGTTCCGAGGGCAGGACCCCACTCCCTGCCCCCAGCACTGTCACAGCAGAAGCCCCCTTTGCAAAGCTCCCTGGCAGGTGCCACCACTCTCTCCACTGCATGACCCCTAAATGCCACAGGAGTGCCATGTGCAGCTATCTGGTCTCTACAGGCAGGATGGAGCAGCTGCATTGGGGACTCCATCAAAATATCTGTCTTCTGCTGTCTGGGGAAAAAACCTCAGAGGGGAGTCTGGGGAACCAGTGTACACTGTCTCCAGCTCTCCAGGGAGGCACCTGTTAGGAACATCCTACCCCAGGACCTGCCATTCAGTCCGGCACCCTAAAGCCAGAAAGCAGTTTTCCAGGTTGGCTCCCTCTCCTCCTCAGAGAATCACACTCAGACCCACCTGGCAAAGGATGTCTTTAATGTATCCTCCACACAGTTCGTGGCCCTTCAGGTCAAAGTAGTTCATGATGTCCCAGTACCGGGCAGCAATGCGGTGGTCCTTACGCTGATCACAGCAGCCGAAGGAGTCATAGTCAGAGCAAAACTCCAGGTGGAGAGAAGGACGAAAGGGCGGTCCATAATCCAAGCACTGGGGGTGTCCCTGCAGCAGGTCCACCCAGCCCAACAATGTGAGGCCCAGGTAGAGCATGCCAGGAGAGAGCCATGGGGCCAGAAGACCAGCAACAGTGTGCAGGCTAGTATGTTTTCCCAGCATTTGGACCTTGGGAATTCTCTGCTGCTGCCTTCCTGGGCTGGCCTGCCCAGTCTGCCCAAGTCCGTCCCCATCCCGTCGTCCCCTCTCCCCGCCCCCCTGCTCCCAATTTCTCTTCCTTCTTTCTCTCCCTCACATCCTGCCCCAAGTTCACTGAGGTGGCTCCTCACTGGAGTCCTTTCTCTGGTCTGGTGGCTAAGCATATCTAGTGACATCAGTGAGAGGTGTCCTTACCTGTCAGTTCCGTCTACAAGCAATGCTGGAGCAAGTCTCAATACTAGTGCCAAGAGCTTGGGGCCCATGAGCGCTTAGCCAAAAGGTATGATGGGGTCAATGACTGAGGTGCAGTGATTCCCCAAGCTGCACAGAATTCCCACCATGTGGGGCGCAGGCCAGGAAATTCCCACTTGTTTACTGTTTCTCTGCGGGCTGAACAGCACATCGCACATTACAGAGCCCCAACGGCAGACTCCGTAAGGCAAGCGTCCAGGTTCCTGCAGTGCAGAAGGGCACAGACAGAGGACGGCGGGAGAGGGTCTGGGGACACGTCACAGAGGGCTGTCTGGTGTGTGCTTAGATGGGAGGGAATTTCATGAATCTTGCATCCCCCGCAAGAAAAACACAGGCAGTACAGGGAGGGTGTCTCAGTCTCTTCACTCTGCTGCAACACACAGCAGACTGGAACATAGCTTGGTTGGTAGAGTGCTTGCCTAGTAAGCAAAGGTTCTGGGTTCGAGTTCCAGCACCTCACAAATCAGACTGTGTATAACTGCCATGTTGATTCTTTGCTACAAATCAATTTTGAGTCTAGCCTGGGCTACATGAGCCCCTATCTCAAAATACATAAGGGAAACAAAACTACCATGGACTGGTTAACTTATAAATAATATGAACTTTGCTGTTTAGACTGGAAAACTCAAAATAAAGGCGCCAAAATGCCCAGTGTCCAGGGAGGAACCCTTGTTACATCCTCACAGTAAGAGACAGAACAAACCCACCCTCTCAAGCCCCCTTCCTAGCGGGGCAAAAGGGTACACGGAGATTGAACGCAGGATCTCACACATGATGCGCACACCCTACCACCAATCTGTACCCCTTAGCTTCTGTACTCTAGATACCAATTCCCTAAAATGCAGAAGCTGGCTAACTCACCAGCCCAAAGCCTGACTCTGAATACTAACACACTGGCAGGTTTCAACACAAACTTGTCCCAGAGAACACAAAGACCAGGAAGCACAGAACACCCGACTTCCTTATTTTTGCCAGATCTATAGCTGCTCTGATTTTATTACATGGGGGTGGGGAGCCCATGGTATGTGTGGAGTCAGAGGACAACTTTTAGTTGTGCATTCTCTCCTGTTATATGGGGCCCAGGGATGGAACTCAGGCTGTTGGCAGCGAGCACCTTTAGAAGTGTTCTTCCTCCATGCACATGTCATCAGTATTTAAGACTGTCTTGCAGGCCAGCCTGGTCTACAAAGCGAGTCCCAGGACGGCCTCCAAAAACAATACAGAGAAACCCTGTCTCGAAAAACCAAAAAAAAGACTGTCTTGCTACATGTGTGTCTCTGCCAACCAATAGGCTTTTTTTTTTTTTTTTTAAGACAAGTCTCACTATATAGCCATGGCTGGAATTCTATGTAGATCACACTGACCTCAAATTTAGTTATGCCTCCCAAGTGCCAGGATTAAAGGCATGTGCCACTATACCCATTAAAACAGTTCCAGGAGACCAGCTCAATGCTTGGTGTGGATCTGTTTCTGCTTCCATCAGCTACTGGATAAAGACTCTAGGATGGCATTTAAGGTAGTCATCAATCTCATTATAGTGCAAGGGCATTAAGGTAGCCTTTCCACTATTGTTTAGATTCTTAGTTGGGGACATCCTTGTGGATTCCTGGAGATTTCCCTAGTGCCAGGTTTCTTGTTAAGCCTATAACGGCTCCCTCTATTATCTCTTTCCTTGCTTTCCTTCCTGGAATCCAGTTGTAGACAGGGAGGAGTGATGAGCAAAGGGGTCAAGACCATGCTGGGGAATCCACAGAAGCAGCTGACCTGAGCAAGTAGGAGCTCACAGTCCCAGTCTGACAGCTGGGGAACCAGCACAGGACCGACCAAGGCTCCCTGAATGTGGGTGTCAGTTGGAGGCCTGGGCAGACTATGGAGCCTCTGGCAATGGAACCAGTATTTATCCCTAGTGCAGGAATGGGCTTTGGGAGCCCATTCCCTATGGAGGGTTACTCTTTCAGCCTAGATACAGGGGGGAGGGCCTAGGTCCTGCCCCAAATGATGTGACAGACTTTGATGATTCCCCCATGGGAAGCCTCACCTTTCCCTGGGGAGTGGGTGGAGGTGGAATGGGGGTATGGGAGGACAGGAGGAAGAGGGAACTGGGATATGTAAAATAAGATTGTTTTTAATTTAAATTTTTATTTAAAAAAAGGTTCTTTAATGAATGAACATAGAACCCTAAACTCACAGACCCCAAACCCAAAGAGACAGGTCTATACAACTATTTAGTACCTGAACTGAGCCTGCTTCCAGCATTTCCTGTGCTTCCAGCCCATTGGAACTGTTAGAATTTTGACATGTCCTGCCAGCCCTGCTGTGCTTCTAAAGCTGACAGCCCAAGCAACAATCCCGCTGACCCCAGAACATTGCCAGGAGGACACTAAGACCATGAACTTAGGTGTAGTGGAGCCAAATCTCTGAATTTTAGAACTTCCACAGTATTTAAGATACAAACAAAACCCATAAAACCAATGGGGCGTCAGGAGTGGGTAGTCAGGGTGACTGTCAACACCACACCTTGCTTTTACCTGTCAGCTCACTGGCAGGGCTGAGGACGGAGCCTAGGCTGTCACACATGCTGGGCAAACACACCATCACTGAGCCAAATGCACGGCCTCTGCTTCTGAAGGCATAGGCTGGAGTCTGAGTCACTGGTGACTGTGCAGTTTCCACAGGGCTATTTATTCAAAGGTCAGTGCTTGTCAACCTTGGATGGAGCAGTAGCCCTTGGCCCCTCGTCAGTCAGTGAACACAGTCACCAAGGTGCCCTAAACACCTGGGCCTGGGTGAGGGGGAGTGCATCTCCCATCCTGGAGACAGTTTCTTGATCTCTGATTAACATTTATGTCTGGATCTTTGTTCTTTGGCCACAAAACAAACACATGGAGATTTTCCTGTTTGAGGCAAATGTCCTAGCAGAGATTAATAAGCAAAGATCAGCAGTCCACTGGACTCTGACACAAGCCCCTGATTAATGTCACATTTCAGATAAAATTACACAATGCAACGTCATTTTTCAACGGATCCTCAGGGTCAACTCGGTAAATATGTCAGTATACAAGGTGCTATGCAGGAAAAGGAACGCTGATAAATAAGACACACATTTCCAATATATCCTGAGAAGCCGAGTATGGTGGCAGACACCTGTAACAAGTACCTGAAAAGCTGAGGCAGGAGGATCACCACTTTGAGGCTAATATGGACCGTATAGGTGGATGAAGAAGTGTGGTGGTTTGAAAGAAAATGGCCCCCAAAGGGAGTGGCACTAAGGAGGTGTGGCCTTGAAGTAGGTGTAGCCTTGTGAGGAAGTGTCACTGTGGGGGTGGACTCTGAGGTGTCCTTTGCTGAAGCTACTATGTGTTCAGTCTACTTCCTGTTGCCTGATATCAATATCGAGCAGCTACCTCTCCAGCACCACGTCTACCTGCACACTGCCATGTCCTGTCATGGTAACGGACTGAACCTCTGAACTAAGCCAGCCACCTCATTTAAACGTTTTCCTTTGAAAGAGTTGCTGTGGTCATGGTATCTCTTCACAGCAATAGAAACCTAACTAAGACAGGGAAAGCATAAAACAGGGCCCAATAATGGAAGGCAGATTATATTAACAGATGGGGAACAGCATCGTGGAGCACTCACAGGAAGGAATTGTGACATCAGACCTGTGAACATCTGAGGCGGGTGGGGGTCTGATACAGCACTGGTAGAAAAGAACTTGGGGATTACATCATGGCCAAACCATTAGAAGCTGACTGAGCTTGAGAACCATGTGGACCTATCAGATAGACCCAGACTGAGGGCTGAAATCATGTAGCACTCATCTTTGAAACACACATTTGTACATCACTGTGCTAGTTTGCCTGGACTGCTATAAAAAGTACACAAACTGAAAGGTTCTCATGAGAAGACATATTGTCTCTCAGCTCTGATGGCCCTGAGGTCATGGGGTCAGCAGGGCTGTTCCTTCCGAGGTTGCCAGGAGAATCAGTTCCAGGTGTCTCTTCCAGCTTGTAGTGGTTCACAAGCCGTCTTCTGCAGCTACAGCTTAGTAGTGCTGCCTTCACGTTCAGACGCCGTTTTTTCTGTGTACATGCCGTGTCCACTTGTTCTTATGAGAACACGAGTCATTTGGGTCTGGATGAAGACCCACTACAATGACCTTATTTTATGACTGAGGCCATCTCCTGAGCTCTGGCCTCTCCGCAGTCCACTTGCAGCTGTGCTCCTCTCCTGATGAACCTGACGACAGAGGGCAGCTCCTGCACGCGCACTGTCCACCGGTCTCTAGAGCATCTTCTCACAACTCAGCCCATTACCAGCATGTAGACAAGCCTGTGGGGTCAGAGAGGTTCAGTGAGGTACCTAAGAATCCCACCACCCGCCAGAGGTCAAACGGCAATAAAATCCAGTATTCTAAATTACGGCTCAGACTTCATTCCACAATTTACCATACTCAGCAATCACTTCTGACTGTTCTTCATATCAAAAAACTTGTATCAATTGCAACTAGCTACTGCAGGCACACTAACTGAATACAGTCATAATTGATGTGAATTCAAGGTACAGTCATGATGGGAGCCGTGAATGAACTGGCATGAAGTCATTATTCTCCAAGTTCAAAGCCAACTTTCCTCTCTATGAAGACACTTTCCACATCTTTTGTGGGGATTCTCATTTAGCAACCTATCATTTCTTTTTTAAAATGTTACCATCCATCACAATTACCCCTTACAAAGAAAACCCACACACCAGGCCCCATGGTCCCCACTCAATGGCTACCATTCTCATACCCCCCACGGTCACAGAACACAGTGACTGCACCACCAGATGAAGTGCTTAGGACACGCTGGGATTTAAGACCCACCAAGCCTTTCTGGCTCCATGGTACTCTGGGGCTGTTTGGGGGGGAAGATTCATATACAATCATCTGACCTAGAACAGTCAGGAAATGCAAGGCAAATGAATACCAAAAATGCAAACAACATGATTTTAAAAACTAGCAAAACCCTAAGTAGATGCCTTTCAATGGAAGACACTGCATGACTCACAGGTGCATGTTAGATGCTCAAGGGTCTAAAGAGAGAAAAGGGAGGTACTGTCACACAGCTGCTGGGAAATGGCAAGCACTGGATATGGAAAAAGGAACTCTGTGTACTACTGATGGCAATGTAAATTGGTTTTATTACATTATTATTGTTGCGGTGCTGATGGTAGTAATATTGTTAGTACTTGAGCCCCGGGCCTCATGCATGGTGGGTAAGTGCTCTCCTACCAAATTACAGCTACAGCCTACCATGCTCATTACTGAAAACAAAATCCAAAGTAGAGCTGACATCGATCAACAGGAATTGGGAGCTGGGACTAAAAATATATGCATTCCTATGTTCACCACAGCAGTATTCACAATGGTTAAAAGGAAAAACAATCCAAATGTCCTTTGTTAAGTAAATAAGGGAAAAAATTGTATAATCTTCAGTCATTAAATAACGTTAGCTCTAGGGGGCTGGAGAGATGATGGCTCAGGATGAGTGCATACTGCTCTCACAATTATGCAAGAGGGATAACTAGAGACCAACACAGAAGACACCGTTCAATGATGTGCTGGACTGTAGTTTGCTAGGACAGGAAATGCTAAGTCCTCCAACTGTGGTGATGATGATGATGTCTTAGAGTCACACAAGTGATGTGTTTCTGAGCAGTTCTTAAGTGAAAATCCTGGAAAGATTAACTCATAGAGAAAATGTTTCCACAGAGCGGGCTCCACCTTCCAGCAGTGGAGCAGGTATAGAAGTCAGAGAGGGAATCTATTGCCTTTTGCCTGCCCACTTCACCCTTGCTGGAAAGTAGATTGCTGGCATCTACCCTATCGCCACCACCAATGGCGCCGTGATGATCCTCCATAGACATTGGAACCCAGATTCTTTGGCTTCCAAAGTGGACTGAAGACCAAACACTCCCCAGAAATTCTCCAGGGCCTCAGTGACAGAACGGGACTGCTGAGGCATCTGGCCTCATGGACTGAGCAGCTAGTGCAGGGTTCTCAGTTTCTCCAGTGTGCAGACAACCATATTATATTAGCCATTATAATTAGTAAATCTTTGTGTTATACATTCATTCTATGGTGGCTTCTCCTCTAGAGAATCCTGATAGATACACTAACAACACAGGGGTAATAGATTACCACATCTACCAAGATACCAAGCTGTATACCTCACAGATACGCATTCAGAAGTTTCTAGGAAAAATCAAAAGAGACTTAAAATTCTGTTAGCTCCTGTACTTAAAGGGTCATCATGCAATCATAATGAATACTTAGCAGTTAGCCTGACCCACCATTAACTACCATCCTAGGCAACAAACTAAATCAAAGCAAGTCAATTTTAAAAGAGAATGCTTATTAGCAACTTTGCTAAGTGACACACTACCAAATGAAAAACCCAGAGCTGGGTTAGGTGAACACACCTCTAATCCCAGCACGTGGGAGGCAGAGGCAGGCAGATCTAAATTCAAGGCCAGACAGAGCTAGTGAAACCCTCTAAACCAATGTAATAATAAAACCCAGGATTCTAATTGTAGTGGTTGGATGAGGACGGCCCCACAGGCCTAGTTGCTCTTGGTTTCTGGCTTTCTGCAAGCTCTGGGCTACTGTTCCAGTGCCATGCCTGACTGCTTACCCCATGGTCTTGCCATGATGACTATGAACCCTCTGAAACCCCTAATTAAATATATCCTTTTATAAGCTGCCTTGGTCATGATGTCTCTTCACAGCACTAGAACAGTAAGAAACGCACTAATCCAACCGTTTCCCAAGGCCCTATACTTGGCACAAGTTTGCTAAGGTTTTTTTCCAGGAAGTAGACACTGTCACTTTCATACATCTTTATTTAGTTTACCTCACTTATTTACTAAACCAGGCGCTGTGAGCCGATAGTAACATAAAGAAGTTTATGTCTCAATAACATACTATCAAGAAAGACAAGCACCACAAAATTAATGTGATAGTTTGGTAAGATGCAGTATGGGCCTCCTAGGACACAAAGAGGATAGTCTCCCAAAAGCCTAGGAGAGAGAATAGACCTAGTTTGCTCGAGCCAATGGCCTTGGGGCTGTGAGTCACGTCTCTTCTGATCCTAGCTGCCCAGCTCAGTGCTTCACATGGGTCTGGGAGGCAACAGAGGTAGGGTCTGCACAGTTGGGTCTAACCAGAGAGGTACTTCATCTCTGAGGGCAAACTTCTCCTTCTGGGTCAGAGGGATAGCACAAAAGTGTGCTGCTATGAAGAAATGGGAGTCTCAAAGTGCCTAACATAGCCTGGTCAGTGTCACTACTTAACTACTGGCTTGAGGGCCAGCAGACCTAAAATAATTTCCACAGGTGTTAACTCACAGTGCTCTAACTGAACAGGTGCTAAGAAAATTCTAGGGAAGAAAAACGAGATGTTGTAGCATATACATGTAACACTGAGGCAGAGAATGGTGGGTTCGAGGCCAGTGAAGCCTACAAAGGCAGGCCTCAGTTAAAAAACAGAAACAAAACAAAAAAGTAAAGCTTCGTGTAGAAACCAAGAACCATAGCTCCCCACCTCCCCTTCACGGGATGCATGAACCCTCACTTAAGACTTCAGGAGGGGCGTCCTGCTCATCTTGGCCTGTGCCCTGAGCTTTGTTGGGGCATTACTTCCTATAGTTACTTACACAAACTACCAGACAACTGACCCACATACTCTCAGTAATGCTGGTTCTTTAATGTGCTAACTCCAACTTGGTTTACAAGTGGTGCTACGAAACACCCACTGGTTTAATCTGTTCATTATGAAGTTATCTGTTAAGACCCCACTACCACCATATGTACAAAATACTACTGAGATAAAGATTACTGGCAAGGCATAATTTGCCCAGTTTTACTGCTCATGATTTAAGACTGGTAGGGCTATAAGCCAATGGGGAAATGTGTGCTTTGTCACCTGAGTACTAGTAAACCTTCCTGGAATCCAAATACTAGTCACTTCAACAGTAATTGCACAAGAGCCAAGATCATTTTGAAGAAGCATTTACCAGCATCACAACACTCTACAGAGCCCAGCTTATGTTCCTGGAACATGTCATTGGCCTCTGGTCATGCTGTCCTAGTAGGCTTACTTTGTACCTGTTCTCATTCCCAAGAGAAAAGGAGAGGGGACATCCGAGTTCCAAAGCATATCCTAGATCACCATGCCCCTTTAGGCTAAGCCACAGCCTCTTTTACCACTCTGACTCAAATCAGTCCTCTGGAGTCAAAGGTCCTTCTCTGGAGGGTCACTTGACCCACCTGTTGGGCTAAAACCAGCAGAGGAAGGAAGAGTTCTTTCTCAGGCTCTCCTCACCTCCTCAACAGACCTAGCACTCTTCTTCATGGCAGTGAATGTGACCTGGGTCAGCTAGAATCTAAAAGTGCATGTGTGCTCACTACGCAGCACAAGTTGTATTTATTCCAGAACAGCCACAGGCAGGCCACCTTCAAGAAGCAACTACTCCAGAGCCATGTTCGCCCACAATATAAACACCCTTTTCTGTTTAAAAAACACAAACATTCCTTTCTCAGCTTTCTGGAAGAAATAAAGTGTAAGAATCATCCTTTTAAAATATACATGTAATTCTGGGCAGTGGTGGCGCACGCCTTTAAACCCAGCACTCAGAAGGCAGAGGCAGGCAGATCTCTGAATTCAAGATCAAGCTAGTCTACAAGAGCTAGTTCCAGGACAGCCTCCAAAGCCACAGAGAAACCCTGTCTTGGAAAACAAAAACAAAAAAATAAAACGTACATGTAACATTACAAAAAAGAAAAATAAAGGTATATATACTTATAATCAGCAAAGGCAATGAGATTAATTTCTTAACTATAACCAAGAGCAAAGTGAAATACAATATATTAGGGGCTGGAGATGACTCAGCTCTTCCAGAGAACCCAGCTTCAATTCCCAGCTTCCACATGGCAGTCTGTAACTCCAGTTCCAGGGGATCTGACACTCTCACACAGATATATATGCAGGCAAAACACCAAGGCATATAAAATAAAAATAAATTATTAAAAAATTTATTTATAATAAAAAAATTATTAAAAAAGGGCTTGGAAAATAGCTCACTGAGACATGAGTTGAGCAGAGTACCCACAAAAGGAGCTGTGCATAGGGCTGACAAGATGATTCAGTGGATGAGACAATTTGTCACTCTCGCAACCACAGTTCAATCGAGACCTACATAGAAGGAGAGAACAAGTCCTCCTCTAAGTTATTCTCCACCACACGCATGCCAAGTCATCTGCACATGTGTGCACACACATAAAAAAATGAATGAATGAATTCAAAAATTAAAATCTGAGCATGATAGCCCACAGTTATAATCCCAGAGCTAAGAAAAGTCCCTGGGACACAGTAGCCAGCCAACCTAATAGATGAATCCCACGTCTCAGTGAGAGACCCGTCTCAAAGCAAGGCTCCTGAGGAATTACACAGCTGACATGTACACACACACTTAAAATAATTTAAACAACCTTCTTAAAACACCAAACACACACATTCAATAACCACTGAGCCACCACACTGTAGTGACGTGTAAAACAACTTACAATCTAGGTGCAAACACCTGGATTTACAATACTGTATTTTTTGACAAACTTCTTCATTCGCTTAATTTTCTTCTTCAATGTTTCACCATCTTGTTTTACAATATACCGAAAATATCTACAACCTAAAAAATAAAACAGAATAAAAAAGTTTTAATATTTGTCAATTAAGTATACTTCATCACGTCTTAAAATTTTGCTTCAGTCCTAGACCACTAATGATTATGAAAATAGATTCATTTGTATGACACATACCAATGTGAAAAGTAACTATTCTAGAGCCATGTTCTCCCACTAAACAAACACTTTCTTCTGTGTAAAAAACAAAAACATGCCCTTCTCAGCTTTTTGGCTAAAATCAAGTGTGAGAATCACCCTTTAAAACCATACATTTTAACAGAAATCCTGTATAAGCGTCACCAATGAAAAGAAGTGCTACCTGCGAAGGCATCTCTCATCCATAATTAAAACAAACACTTCAGCTCCCTCACCCTTCCTAAACCCTAGACATGGTGATATGCGTATTATATACATTTATTAAAGGAGCCTTCCAAAAGCTAATTTACTCTAACCCAGCTTCCTCTCAATGCCAGCTTGTCAATCAGCTACAGGGGCATCTCTCACAGTAAGAAAGTTCTCTGTAGAAAGCAGGAAGAGGGAGGATTAAAATAAACACAACATAGATTAGAAGTGATCAACACACTTCCTTCTAGCCTTCTAGCAAGCAGTGGCTGGAGATGACACTCTGACCAAGCTGCCTAGTGCTACCTGCTCTTCAATCTCACAATGCAAAGATGACACTTGTCAAGTGTTTCAGAGAAGCCAATTTCTAAAAGAAAAATGTAGGCTTGATATGATGCAATTTATCCATCCACCCGTCCACCTGTCCACTCATCCAGCCATCCATGAATGCATGCAGTTCTAGGGACTGAACCTAAGGCCCTGCACACGCTAGGTAAGCCTTCTATCACTGATTTTAAGAACTGATTTTGTTTTTACTCATGTATGCGTGTGTGTGCGCGCACACCACATATTTGTGGATGCCTACAGAGGCCAGAAGAGAGTGCTGTAATTCAGGCAGCTGTCGGCCACCCAATGTGGGTGCTGAGAACCTAACTTGGCTCCTTTGTGAGAAGAGCAAGCATTGTTAACCACTGAGCCATCTCTTCAGTACCTGCCACAGGCCTACATTTTACTTTTTGTTTTAAGAAACGGTCCCACAGGTTACCTATCCAGACTGGCCTTGAAGTTACTGTGTAACTCAGGTAGGCTTTAAACTAGTAACTGTCTTGTTTCAACCTCCCCTATAGCTGGGATTACTGGCCTGTACCACCAGACCTACCTGTGATTATTAAACAAAACAACCATAAATCATATGAAAAGTTAATTTTATTATATCCTCAGTGACATACATCTATCTTTCCTAAGAAAATGCTAGGTTATATACCATAACTACAGAACCCATCTATCATCCTTAAAGACAGCATGCCAGTGGTGGAGTCTATAGAGTCCATAGTGTTACTAAAATAATCTGTGGTGTTTCTTTTGAGACAGGATCTACCTGTGTTGTCCAGGTTTGCATATTCCTGACCTCAAACGATCCTCCCACCACAGCCTCCTAAGTATCTGGAAATAAGGCACTAATTTGTATTCATAAACTACTTTATAGTAGAAGTTAAATACAGCCAGATTTCTGCTTTTACCTATACAGAAAACTGGACAGAATTTTACCCTGTCCTAACACCAACAACTGCATAACCCTGAAGAGAGCTTAGGGTCAAAGGCAATCGGGTTGCTAACCATAAAGATCTCTCCACAGAGAAAAGGGGCCTGCCTTGCTTTTCACACAGTATGGGGAGAAGGACAGCTGTCACATTCTTTCTCAGACAAAGCAGAAGCTGACCTAGATGTAATGGTGGTGCCCAGAGAGAGAAGCAAACTCAGCTCAATGCCAGAACCCACCCTGATGGGAGAAAGGTGCCCATACTCCAGCAAAGCCACGCCTCACACCTCTAGAATACTTGAGAATTCAGAGTCCTCCAGGAGATATCACTTGGTATTTACATCCCTGTTAGCAAATAAGGAAAGAGTCATGTTTACGATGTGCATCTCCAACAAAAGGCCACCAAAGGTCACTGCTTGACCTAAGTGACAAGTTAAGAAGACTGGAAACTGTCCCAGGCCTTCAGACTCTGCTCCGATGCAGCACCCTGAGCCGTCTGTACTGTGACTCAGGGTTCAGGAAGTGAAGCATTGCGGGCAGGCCCATTTCTGTCCCATCACTAGTGTGTTACTCGAAATGGCATTTGTCACCTGCTCTCATTAATCCTTCTCTCATAAAATCAACCTTTTCCTAATCTTAGTGACTACAGGAAACACACCAATTCTCATTCCTCAAGAGACGCCATCTCAGCCCTGCACAAGTGTAGCCTCAGGGTCCCACTGCACAGTGACACACACCACAACGAGGCAAACTCTGGGAGCTCACGAGCAGTTTCCCAGTGCTCACTGAAGCACCGCTTTCATACTTCTGGAAAAACCTCCTGGCAGTTTTATCTCAGTGTGTTCCACCACTCATGTTTCAGTGGTGCAAAGCAGGTAAGAATTTTACTGCCAAAATGTCCCATAATAGAAGACCACATCCTCTCTTTAGAAGACTGGCTGTTAATAGGTGCTATTCTTTCTCTGTGGGGGAGGGGGTGATGTCCATTACAGGACAGGGGAGTGAATATAAACAACGTGAAGCCAGTGAAGAGAACCCTTGTGCTTTCTGTGGCGCTGCCCACAAGCTCAGTCACCCTGCACAGCAAGGCCCAACAGTCTGCACAGGGCATTTATGCCCAGAGCCCTGTCAGGGTATGGAGGCCAACCGCACAGTTCACAGGACCACACATAAGCTCTTATCATGACCCTGCTCAGGGCTCACACTCTCACCTAAAACCCCTGGCCATCACACTGGGCAAGACGAACAAACCAGCCCACTTTCTAGCTTCAGAGTCGGCCAAAAGCTACATCCAAATAAAGCCACAGACCTTTTCCTAAAAGGATTCCCGCTACAAAAGCTTTTTCACAAGCCAAGTCGGCATCTGCCTTCCAGTCGCTCTTTGCCCAGAAGAAGCTGAAGTGAAAGACTGGCCACCAGCTTCTCCTAGATTTCCACTCTTCTTCAACCCACGCTGGATGACTTCTGCAAGGAAACACATAAAAAGGACAAGTCAGTGAGGGGAAGCTGTCAGCAGAAGTCCAATGTGGGCGGTCTCTAAGACAACACGGGAGAGGTTCCCGGGCTCACTTCTGAACATGGCCATGACAGAAGCTTGGAGGCGAGCTCATGTTCACTCTTTTTGGTCTCCACACCCCATTTCCACTTCACTGTCAATGCCCTACAGCATGAAAATGGAGTTAAACCCCTGAATTAGAATCTCTGATCCTCCATCGCCAATCACAGGATCCTCAGCATGCTGCTCAGCCTTCTTTGATGGGGGAAGTGGCTATTTCCTAGCATTTTTATTAGCAGCAAACCAGCCCAACAGAACAGCAGATCCCCACAGAGCTCCTCGTACAGTGTCTGCTCTGCAGTAACCATTAGCTATCATTATAATCACTTAACAGGTACTTTTTGCACCCAGAATGTGGTGCTGACAACATGCATGGCCAAGTGCAGCATCAGACACTTTAAGATGCAGTGCTCATTTTGCTAACACAAAATATATGCACAGAATTTCTAGTTTCAATTAGGCTTATGATTTTTGTATTTCCTAGCTTCTGATACTGAGGAAAAAAGAAAAAGAGCTAAAGATCCCATACAGTAAATATGAAAGCATTAAGTTAAAAGCATCAAAAGCAACAGCTAAAATGTGGCAACTATTACTCATGACGAGCCAGTGAAAAGTGCCGTTTCTACTTACTCCATTAATGTCTGCTTCAGATACTTTGCCAAGTATTTCCAAGCAGTTATGTTCTTAGTGCATCCAGCAAAATCAAGGACTTCAAACAACACACCCAAGCCCAACTTGCGGTGTTCTTCTATGTCTGCAACGGTCACAAAAGTCTAAGCTTACAGAAGGTACTGGAGAAGAGACACCAAGCTAATGAAGGACTGTTAATTGCAAGCCTTTGGTTGGTTAACTGTTTGAAACAATGCATTATGCTCACTGTCCTATGATGAGCCGACGGTTAACGACATAAGATGGTGAGCCTCTTCTGAAGTTAGACCCCTCTAAATACCACCTACCCTATTTGGCAAATAGGTTGAGACCTACAGACTTTGTAGTATCTGTCTTAAACAAACTGTCTTCTAAGACAGATGTCCTATACTATACTGCACTACAGCCCTCAAGGGGTTAACAGAGGCAAATCATAGAAGTGAAAGGCATTCTGTCCTATTTCCGAAGTCTCTCTATAAGGACTGGACAACAAGCATTTTAAGCATTGTGAGCTGCAGATGTGAAATCTCCATTGTAGCTACAGGTTCTACAGTCATAAAGCAAAAGCAACCACCAGCATTCCAGGAGGGAGTGGGGTGGAAGTGAATTTAGCTTGTGAAAACACGTGATGAGTAGATGCGGACCCTGGACCATAGACTGCTGGTGCTCCATCTAGTCTATATGCACAAATGAGTATAAAGCACACTTTTACCTGATTTTCTAAGCAACGTATGGAATTCTAACATCAGTGGATGGGATGGCACGATCTCATGCAAAATCTGAAAGAGAAAACAGTCCTGTAATTTATACACGATACAGACATTGCTCAAATTCTAGCTTACTCAGCAAATGAATTAAGAACTTAAAAAGTACTTTGCTTTGATAAAGTTTCAAGCTGAATATAAGAATTCCTAGGAGATGGATGGGTGGGTGAAGTGCTCACTGTACATGAGGACTTGAGTTCATAGCCTCAGCACCACAGGTGGTAGCATGCACCTGTAATTCCAGCACTAGGGAGAAATAGGAGGTTCCTGGGAGTTCACTGTCCTCAAAATCTAGCCTGTCAGTGAGCTTTAGGTTCAGTGAGAGAGACCCTGCTATAAGAAAAAAAGATGGATGGGTTAGAGATGGCTTAGTTAAGAGCACATGGCAGCTACAAACATCTGTAACACCAGCTGCAGGAGGATCCAACCCTCTTTTCTGACCTCCAGAAGCACTGCGTGTATGTGAAGTACAGACACACAAAACACCCATACACATAAAATGAAGGAAAACATTAAAACAATAAGGTGGAGAATACATAGGAAGATACCCAACAGACTCCTACCCTCCACATGTACATGTGTAGGAAGGCTGAAATATGCCCAAACAATACACATCTGATCTGGGGACTCTGCTTACTCAGTGAATGATTTGCCTCATTAACACAAGGATCTCATTCTAATCCCAAGAACCCTGGCACGTCTGGAGTCTCAGCACTGGAGAAGCAGAGACAGGTGGGCCCCTGGGGCTTGCTGACCAGCCAGCCTAGACCACTTGGTGAGTTTGTTTCTTCATGAAACAAGATAGGCCAGGTGTGGTGATGCACTTCTTTAATTCCAGCACCCGGAAGGTAGAGGACACTGAATCTCTGTTAGTTTAAGGCCAGTCTGGTCTACACAACAACAAAACATTTAAGGAAACAAGCAAACAAGATAAATAGCTCTTAGCCGGGTGTTGGTGGTGCATGCCTTTAATCCCAGCACTCAGGAGGCAGAGGCAGGTGGATCTCTGTGAGTTCGAGGACAGCCTGGTCTACAGAGTGAGTTCAAGGACAGCCTCCAAAACAATACAGAGAAACCCTGTCTTGAAAAACAGAGAGAGAGAGAGAGAGAGAGAGAGAGAGAGAGAGAGAGAGAGAGAGAGAGAGAGAGAGAGAATAGCTCTTAAAATGGGATATCTAAGGTTGACCTCTGGTGTGTTTTCTCTCTCTCTCTCCCCTCCTCCCACTCTCTAATTTATCTATATTCCCCCTCTCTTGTCTCTTGTCCTCTCAAAATTCCTGCTAACAGCATGGCAAGTTTACTAGAAGAAACAGATTGAGTAAACAGGCTTTTATTTGTATTGTACACATATCTATCCTACTTGACATACCTTAAAAACTTAAAAGATGTGGCTTTTAGAAAGAATCAAAGAAGAAATTACAAAGCCAGGTATGGTGGCCTAGGCTTGTAATCCCAACACTCTGGACGTAAACGAAGATTAGGACCTAAAATCCAGACCAGGCTGCAGAACAAATCTGAAGCAAGTCTCTAACTACATGACACCCAACTCTCAACATAACAAAACCAAAGAACTCACATAGAAAATACTATGATGATCAGAAAACACCACAGAATATACATAAAACAAAAACTTGAGCCGGGCATCGGTGATACACACCTTTAATCCCAGCACCCGGGAGGCAGTGGCAGGAGGATCTCTATGATTTCAAGACCAGTCTGGTCTACAAGAGCCTCCAAAGCCACAGAGAAACCCTGTCTCGAAAAACCAAACAACAACCAAAAAAAAAAAAAAAAAAAATACTCAAAGGGCAGAGAAAGCAATTTTAGAAGATATATTCAAAACACACTTAAAAGCATGTGAATATTTTAAACATTTCTTTTGTAAAATAAGGGGAAACTTAAAGATTTTATTTTTTAAGAATACAAAGAACTTGGGCTGTAGAGACAGCTCAGGGGTGAAAAGCAGACTGCTCTTCCAGAGGTCCTGAGTTCAATTCCCAGCAACCACATGGTGGCTCACAACCATCTATAAGAGGATCTGATGCCCTCTTCTGACCTCAGGTATACATACATGCAGACCACTCATACAGAAAATACAAATAGATAAAATTAAAAAGTTACAAAGAACTAGTTTATGACTATGGAACAAACAGGACTTTAAGTAACATTGTATTATTTCAAAACATACATCAGAAATGAATTTGAGCCAACAAGATGACTCAGGGAGTAAAGGTGCTTGCTGCCAAGGCTAGCAACCTGAGTTTGCACCCTGGAGATCATAGTGCAGAAAGAGATCAACTCCTGAAAGTTGTCATCTGACCTCCACAAGTGCATGGTAACACACATACACAAACACTTGGACACAGAAAAAATAAACTTAAAAACTGAATTCATGCCTGCCCTTTTCTGAAGAGAAAGAGGAGGGAGGGATGTAATATATGAGAAGGAAAAAGAAAGTGAGTTCACTCTGTCTGGGCCTGGGATACTTTGACTTTATTTCCAGCAAAACAGAAAGCAAATTTTGTCAGTTTCTCTTAGTGGTTTTATAAAAGGTCAATGACGCAAAGTCAGAAGTAAATATTGACACACCAATAAGAGATGTTATTAAAATTGGTTCCTACAGTCACAGTTTTTTCATGATTTATTTATGAATGTCTCAACTCAAAAGGAAAAACAGCATTTCTCTATAAATTATTTTATCTTAAATAAGTGTTCAAACCTGTCCAGATGGTGGCCCTCTGCCTCCCAGCATTGGGGAGGCTGAGGCAGAGGGCTGGAGCTCAGTAGTTAAAGATGTGCTTAAATGGTCAGTGGTGGCACAGGCCTTTAATCCCAGCACTCGGGAGGCAGAGGCAGGCGCATCTCTGTTAGTTCAAGACCAGCCTGGTCTACAAGAGCTAGTTTCAGGACAGCCTCCAAAGCCAGAGAAACCCTGTCTCAAAAAACAAAACAAAAAAAAAACAACAACAAAAAAAAATATGCGTAATATGATGGGGGCCTAGGCTCAGGGTGGGAGGGAGGGAATGCCTATATTCAACACACACACACACCCCTACCTGTTTCTAAAAAGCAAAAGACTTGAACAGACATTACTCCACAGATGGTAATAAAGGGGCTGGAAAAATGGCTCAGTTCAGTTTGCTGCTCGGGCTGGAGAGATGGCTCAGAAGTTAAGAGCACAGACTGCTCTTCCAGAGGTACTGAGTTCAATTCCCAGTAACTACATGATAACCATCTATAATGAGATCTGGTGCTCTTTTCTGGCTTGCAGGCATACATGCAGACAGAATACTGTACACATAATAAATAAATAAATCTTAAAAAAAAAAGAGAGAGAGCTTGCCGCTCTTTCAAATGACCAGAATTCAGTTCTCAGATGCCACGCCAGTTAACATCACCAGGGCCTGTAACTCCAAACCCATAGGATCCAAAGCCCCCTTGGGCACCTACACTCACGTGCACAGCCCCACACATGCATATATAATTAAAACAAAAACTGTAAAAGGTGCCAGTTCTCTCAAAACTGATTTACAGACTCAAAATTCCTCCAAGACTTCTGTTTCTATAGCAACACACTGACTTTTAAATGTATATAAAAAGTGAAAGGACCCAGAAAAGCCAGAAATTTTTTGAAAATGGATGGATTTATATAATTTTCATGTGATTCCAAGACTTCCTCAGTTACAGTGACCATGTTATTAGTACAATGACAGAATATATATCATCAGGGCCAACCTCTCTTAAATAAAGCACCCAATGGAGAAGAGATAAGACTTTCCAATAGTAGTGCTACACTAGCCAAGCAGGCAAAAGAAAAATAGCCTTGACTCTTTCTTGCACTTCACAGTACACAAAAAATAACCCATCATAGACCTTTAGCATAAAACCATTCAGCACTTCTAGAGAAATGAAATATAAAAGAGAATCTTCATTAGTTTGGAAGGCAAAAAAATGTTTCACATGAAAAGCACTAAGCCATAAACGGAAACTGAAATTTGGACATCATTGAGATTCTGCTCTTTGAAAAACACTGATAAGAAACATAGTATTATGCATAGTTATATATAATACAGGCACTCCAGAGAGGCATGAATGGAAACTCACTGCGGTGGTTTGAGAGAAAATGGCCCCCAAACAGTGTGGCACTATTAGGAGGCGTGGCCATGTTGGAGGAAGTATGTCACTGTGGGGGCGGGCTTTGAGGTCTCTTTTGCTCAAGCTTCCCTCAGTTGGACTTTCAGTAAACTTCCTGTTACCTGCAAGATGTAGGACTCTTGGCTATTTCTCCAGCATGTCTGCCTGCATGTTGCCATGCTCCCTGCATGATGATAAAGGACTTAACCTCTGAATCCACAAGCAAGTCACCCCTATTTCTCTTCAGGAACTGGAGTTTTTTCCTAAAGCCCACAGAGGGAGCAGTATCCTGTACTGACCACAGTACACCATTCAAACATTGCTGTTACTTTATGTTGTTTTATCTTATGGTGTTGGGCATCAAACCCAGGGCCATGCTTATGCTAGTCCAGTGCTCTATAACTGAGCTACATCCCCAGCCCGTACCTATTTTCTATAGGGGCATACCCTATTGAAACACTGGGGAAATTTCTATACCTTAAGAACACTTATCAGTTTCGATCTTGGTGCCTTCTCTCTCTTGAGAAATTCATATAAGTAGATGTGGGCATTGGGGTTTGAGGGGAACTTTTCATCATATGCATAATTGGTGAGTATCTCTCGGGCTCCATCTTGATCCCCATAGAATTCTAGCATCTGTATTTAAAAAAAAAGTGTATCTTAGATTAATTCTGTAAAATGATTCCATAAAAAGAAGATACAAGCTTACTGCTAAGAACACAGCAACAACAACAACAAAAACCCACAAAGGTGACAAATACTGTGCAGTAGACAAGAGCAACACCAATTCTGCTTTTCTAGCATTCCTACAACTTCCACAAAACAGGATCAAAGGGCTACATGTGACCTCATTTTTTCCTTGAATTTGTTACTGGGAAATGTAGATCCCCAATGTAAGAACCCTACAAGAAACACAAGTCCCCAAAGTAGAGAACACTAGTGACCAAGTGTGATTCAACTATCTCAGTTGATAATTATAGTTCCTATCTCGGAAGCAATTCACAGATGAACTAGATTATCTTCTGACAACAAAGTGGCCACTTTAGCACTCAATTTTTCCCCAAGCAGCATCCAAGCCCTTGGTTCTTCTGCAAGGACTTAATAATGGGGTAGCTAGCTTAATAAACTTTCTAAAAGTCATTGTTTTCATCACCCCTTATGTTATAATTTTGGTTCAGTTTTTTCCCGTTCCCTTCTACAAGCAACCAAATCTTTAGCAATTATCCTATTTTTATATTTTGTTCAATAATAAAAATGCAGACTTGCCAGTCACAGTTATATCACTATGCACATAGGTATCATGACAGGTATATTTACTTTTTTCATTAATGCCAACAAAAACTTCACAGAAACAACTAAAAGAAGGATTTAGCTAGGTGGTGGTGGCTTATGCCTTTAATCCCAGCACTCAAAGGCAGAGGCAGGCAGACAGATCTGATTTCGACACCAGTCTGGTCTACAGATCGAGTTCCAGGACAGCCAGGGCCATACAGAGAAGCCTTATTTGTGTGTGTGTGTGTGGGGGGGGTAGGTATTTAGAATATCTAGTTCAGAGGGTTAGACTCCATCAAGACAGAGGATACATGGCTAAAGGCTCAGTCTATAAAAACATGTAGCAACGATTTATCACAGGACACTGACCAGAAAAAGAGAAGAAGCACCTCCTTAGTGCCCCACATCACATAAAGGTTCCACAATCTCACAACGCAAATGACCACCAAGCACTCAAGCATATTAGTCTTTACAGGACATTTCACATTCAAACCATTAAAAAGTTAGCTAGGGGTAAAACTAAATAAGACCAATTTACATAACAGAGCAATAAACTATTTAGACTAAAAGAGAAAATTTAAACATTTTCTCTATTAGCCTCCTTCTGATCATAAGACAGAGTTGTACTACAAATGTAGCCTAGGCTAACTCAGAGCTCACTATATACCTCAGGCTGGCCTCACACTGGCAGTGCTGGGACAACAAGCGTATCACCACCCCAGCCCATGAAGAGTGACTCACCTCCACGTAACTCTTCACAAAAGGATCCCAAACACCAGGAGTTTTTAGCAGCGCACAGATATTTGCAGATGTCCTGCAGCTTTGGCTGAGCATGTTTCGAGTTTTTACAGTGTAAGCATAGTCATCCTTATCTATTCAAACATAAGAGATTCACGCATCATTTAGAGAAGCTGTAAGCAACGCTCAGGCCTGGGTGGACACTGCTAAACGCTAACAAATGCAAAGACAGCACAGCCAACTCGCAAACAGGAACAGTCTAGGCACCTCTAAAAAGCAAGTACACACCATACCCAAAGGGTAGCTCAGCAAACAGGGTACTGGAAACTTAGTCTAGGCACCTCTAAAAAGCAAGTACACACCATACCCAAAGGTTAGCTCAGCAGCTGACTACCAACTAATGCAAGCAACGAAACTCCACACTCTAAACCAAATCAATGCATGATCATCTAAACACAGGCAGAAAAAGGCTTGACAAAGTTCAATCATTCCTTATGTTCATAAGATTATCTGCATCATTTGTTTATGTGGGGAAGATATAAATAAAGGCAGGGGAATTGTCTTAAACAGGGAACTATTGCTGTAATGAACCACCATGACCAAAGCAAGCAGGGGAGGAAGGGCTTATTTGGTTTATTTGTGGCTAGAAATGAGACCAAGATGTGGAAAATGATGTAAGGGAAAAACAAAAAGCAGGTCCTTAAGCATTACTCAGATTTACTCATCACCGAGCTCATCAAACCTGACAGACACAGACACAGCTGCAGCAGGTGCGGGTCGACGGGCAGCATCCGCAGGAGGTAGTGCACATGCTGTTTCCACCATTCTCACTTGTGTCCTTTTAATCTTCCTCTTTTTCTTTGTTTTTAAAGACAGGGTTTCACTCTATATCACTGGCTGCCACCTCAAACTTAGAGCTCCGCCTGCCTCTGCCTCCCAAGTGCTGGGATTAAAGGTGACACCACCACACCCATCTTATCCACAGTTACCTCTGATGAAATTACATTAAAATAGCAAAGTCCATCTATTATATGGGCAGAACTGATTTTGGGTTGTTTTCTTCATTAAAAACACTTACGGCTAAAGATCTTCTGAACTCCCCCTCCACCCATGACTGTCCCCTCAATCTTACTACAAAGTTAGCCATCCACTACATGCAAAAAGAAGTGCATGCTATCTATTCAAAAGAGTGGTAAACGCCGGGTGTTGGTGGCACACGCCTTTAATCCCAGCACTTGGGAGGCAGAGGCAGGAGGATCTCTTCGAGTTCGAGGCCAGCCTGGTCTACCAAGCAAGTTCCAGGACAGCCTCCAAAACAATACACAGAAACTCTCTATCTCGAAAAACCAAAAAAAAAAAAAAAAAAAAGAGTGGTAAACATCACAGTCTAGTCACAAAATAACGTGTTCCACCTCTAGTACCTCATATAAGAAGAAAAGTAAATAACAACTTCAAAACTCACCTAATCAATGAATACCAGTAAACAGTTTCCATTAGAAACAGGATCTTTTTGTTTGTTTGTTTTTGTTTTTCGAGACAGGGTTTCTCTGTAGCTTTGGAGGCTGTCCTGGAACTCACTTTGTAGACCAGGCTGGCCTCGAACTCACAGAGATCTGCCTGCCTCTGCCTCCGAGTGCTGGGATTAAAGGCATGCGCCACCAACGCCCAGCGAAACAAGATCTTATAATATAACCCACCCTGACCTCAAACTCAAGATAGTCTCATCCTCCCAAGAGCAATGCTTCTTCTATTACCTCTGGAAATGTTCAGCGGTCTGTGTGAGCCATGCTGCCCTGCCATCCCTTCACCGTAAGTAAGAAAACGGACTGTGCCAACTCACCAATCTCTGACAGCTCCGTTTTCTTTTTGGACCAAGTGTAGTACTGTAAAAGCCCTTTGTAGGCCTGAACAAGGTTGATTAGCACTTCCTGAGAGGACGACTTTTCACCGTATCTCCATGTCTCTGCTTCACTGAGATTTCTGCTTGCATCCTCAAGCATTCCGTGATGTATCAGATACAATGCATGTTGTAAGGAAATCTGCATCAATAAGAAACACCCACTGTCACTGAAGTCAGAACTATCAGTCAGAAAACTCACGAAAGATATAACATATGCTGGCCTAGTCCTAGTCCTGAAAACTATGCATTAGAACCTTCAAAGAAAAGTGAAAGCTTGGCTGGGTGGTTGTGGTACACATCTTTAACCCTAGCACTTAGGAGGCAGAGGCAGGTGAATCTCTGAGTTCGAAGCCAGTATGGTCTACAGAGTGAGTTCCAGGACATCCAGGGATACACAGAGAAACCCTGTCTTAAAAACAAATGGAAGGAAGGAAGGAAGGAAGGAAGGAAGGAAGGAAGGAAGGAAGGAAGGAAGGAAGGATGGAAGGATGGATGGATGTATAGTGGTACAGTCCACACTCTGTCATTATACATTTTATGTTTTACAGGCTGTATGGTTTCTGTCACGTTCACTCCACTTATGGCCAAGTTCTTTATAGTCTTGAAAAAAAATAACAAAATATTTATAAACTTACTAAAGAATGGTGTTCTTTTAGTTAGGAGAATATATAGAGAAGGGGCTATTATAATACTGTGGTATGCTCTTTTGCAAAAAAAAAACTATTATTAAAAAAACATGGGAATGCCGGGCGTTGGTGGCGCACGCCTTTAATCCCAGCACTCAGGAGGCAGAGGCAGGTGGATATCTGTGAGTTTGAGACCAGCCTGATCTACAGAGCGAGTTCCAGGACAACCTCCAAAACAATACAGAGAAACCCTGTCTCGAAAAACCAAGAAAAAAAAAAAAAAAAAAAAAGATGGGAATTCAGAGAAAAGGATCTATCCCAAACAGCAGGAACCTAAACCTTTTGAACATGTTCAAGTTCTTACTTTTTTCAGGGTCCCCCCTCCTAAAATGCCAGCTCGGCTCCAGTAAGTTCAGCAAATGTGATGACTGACTGTGTCCCCAGTGAGGTGCAGCCTAATCTCTGAAGGACTGGGCTTGGCACCCAGAGACAGATGGAGACCAGACGTGAGCAGTCCTCACACAGTAGTGTTCTCCCCATCTCTTTTACCCACGGGTCTACCTATTTTCCATGATTTTCTATCTCAGCATTGATACAGGCAATTAAAACACACACACATTGAAATATAAACTTACAAGTCTACATTCTCACCTTTAAATAATTCAGGACACCAATATTTTTCATCCGGTCAGCAAAGTTATTAAAAGTCTCCACATTGCTTTTGGGATGATAAAATAGAATTTCACTTCCAAGTTTCCAAATGATCTATCAAAGCAAAAATTAATAGGGAAATAATAAATCCTCACCTTATCCAGTTTCTTTGTACAAAATTTTTTTCATTTTTTCCTGATTATAACACTCAAAAGCAACTTATACTTCCTCTCCATAGAGACCACCATTGCCAGACTTGACACGCTTCACCTAGTACACCAGCATTGTTAACTAGGTGACATTCATCACATCTCGAAATTCTGGTGTATTGGTGATGCTTCTGCTGCTGTGACAAAGACCGTGACCACAGCAATTAGAGGGAAGAGTGTACTTAGGCTCACAGTTCCAAGGGTTAAGGCACGGTGGCAGGAGCACGGAGCTCACATCTGGAATGGCAAGTATGAGAGGCAGAGAGCAACCCAGAGAAAAGTGTGATTTTAAACTCTCAACGTCCACCTCCAGTGACAGACATACTTCTTCAGCACCTCCCCCCAAACCGTGCCACCTGCAGGAACCAATGTTCAGATGCCAGCGTCTCTGGGGGTGTGCTCATTCAAGCCACCACACCAGATAAGAATAGCAGTGCCATCATTAAACTCGTGCTCTTTAAACAGCACCTTTAGGATGCACACTAGGTATAAACTTAAAAATCACTATGAAATGGGTTCCTACAGGGCTCAATCTCATCTTCAACCCTCCAAGCACAGACAGTAGACATGTCCACGCTCCCTGAACTTACATCCACAAGTGCATGTGCTATGCACTTAGGATGTCAATCTAAGAATATTTATCAGAAAAGACAAATTGTCATGAAATACATGTTCTCAGGCCACATTTTGGTGACAGAACTTGAGCTCTGCTTTTCTCAGGGGCAAATGTCTATTTCTCTTCCAACCTAAAGGAGATTACTAAATCAGGTGTCTTTAGAAGAAAAAGTTGCCCCTGCTGCCCCCTGTGTGGGTTATAGGTGTGTACCTCCACACCTGGTTTTTATACAACAGGACAGGGACAGGTAAGAGAGCGAAGGCACTAAAAGAGGCCTTCAGGAGGATGGCAAAAGCTGAAGAAAGGCCCTTCCAAGTAAAGGGAACCAAAGTAAAGGAGCATGCCTGACCTGCTCCATTAAAAGCGAGGGCAGTGAGGCTAGGGAAGAAAACCCAAGTTCGAGATGGGACCAGACAGGCAGACCAGGAGGAGAGTGAGCTCATCCTAAGGAAGTTCACAGCAGTGAGAGGACCACAGCTGACACTCCAGGGAAATGGAAAGCCATTAGTGCTCTCATAATCAACCAGAGTTTGGAGAAGCCCCATCTGCATCAAGTCAATAGAGAAATGCGAATCATAACACAAGCCAATTCTACTTCACAACTCCAAGTATCAAAAAAAGACAGGCATGGTTGCTCATGCCTCATAGCCTCAGGAGATTGACAGAGGACTGCTGTAAACCTGAGTCTGAGGCCAGCATGGTCTCCAGATCAAGGCTGTCTCAAATACATGGATAGATGGATAGATGGAATGAAGTAAGATAAAAATTATCAATACGGATGTGAAAAAAATTAGACATTAAATACTGCTGGTAGAAATATAAAGTGGAAAAGCCACTTTGGTAAGGAGTTGGGTAAAACCATAAGAGATTAAAAGTAGTGTTATTATACTGTGTGTATGTAATATATATATAATATATATAACCTACAATTTTTCTCATCAGTATATACCAAAGAGAAATTAAAGCAAGCACCATGCAGAAACACACACAGGAATGCTGAGAGAAACTATAAAATGTGGTGCTCCGTCCAATAGAATACTACAGTAAAAGGATGGATACGCCAGGCATGGTGGTGGCATGCCTGTCATCACCCCAGTACTCAGGAAGCAGAGGCAGGAGAAACAGACTCCCATTTGCTCTACCTCGGGGGCAGTCTGCCTCTTGTAGGTGTCTGAATCTTCCAGGGTCTGTAAGTAACTGTGCATATATTCTGCAGCTTGCTGCCACTGGTGCTTCAGCAGGGCTTCTTGGATAAAGCTTAAACAAGCGCTTGTCGTCTGAGCAAAATCCCTCTTCTTCTTCCCTCCAGTCACTGTAACAACCACACAAAACCAATTATTCCACTGACTCCAGTTCAGCTGATCAGAAAACTCAATCAACACAAGGCTTAACAAGGGCAGCAAGTACTAATGACCCAGCCTACCCCAGAATCAAGCCCGCTAACTTTTTTAGTTTTAGCGGCCTCCCGACCACGATGGAATGCTGACAGGTAGTCCTGGGCAGACCGTATGCCAGGAGCCGCCGCTGCTGCACATTCAGCCTCCTTCCCAGCCTCTTGAAGTTACTTACAGAGACACCCAAAGGAGAATCAAAAACCAGCAGGCCACAAGGTCACAAGACTGTTATCTGAGCACTAAAGAGCCTGAGGCAGGACTGTGAGGCCAAAGACTGAAATATGTAAGGAAATTCTGTCTCAAAATAAAATCTAACCCTAAATATTAGATATCCTTGTGCCACTAGGCTCCCTATATTTTTTAAAACTGGTTGTTCTTTTACTAAGTAATTTGGATAGAACCTTTCAAAGGAACAGTCCCCAGTATTTTAATGGGTAAAAGTCACCAATGCTACCCCAATGAAATAAGTTCAGCTGTAAACATTAGCATCCGTTAAGTCTGTTCTGACAGCCAGGCGTTGGTGGCGCACGCCTTTAATCCCAGCACTCGGGAGGCAGAGGCAGGCGGATCTCTGTGAGTTCGAGACCAGGCTGGACTACCAAGCGAGTTCCAGGACAGCCTCCAAAGCCACAGAGAAACCCTGTCTCGAAAAAACCAAAAAAAAAAAAAAAAAAAAGTCTGTTCTGACAATCTCCTTGTTAACAGTATGTGGAGTTAGTTACAATATTATAAATGAGAAGGTTATACTGATATCTCCTTTTCCCTTCTAACAGATCCTGTTTGGCCAGCAGTCTCTTTCTTTGTTTCTGTTTTGTTCCCAGGCTAACCTCAGGCTCATATGTAGCCAGGTATGACCTGGGACTCTCTGCCTGGCCTCACACATGCTGGAGTTACAGGTATGCACAACCATCCCTGGCTCTGGGCCCTCATCTTCCAGCTAGACTCCCTTATTTAAGAAAGTACAGAGACCAACGAGAAGCATGCAAAGGTGCTTTTCAAATAGTCTGGGCAGGTGTATAGAGATGACTCAGAGGGTCAGACCGTGTGTTGAGATTCAGGTCCCAGCACCCAAGTCAGGCAGCTCACAATCACTGGTAACTGCAGATCAGGGAATTTGATGCCCTCTTATGGCCTCCACGGGCATTGCGCTCACACCCACAAATTGAAGGACATATACATATACACACAGTAAGAAATAAAAATCCTAGGGACCGGAGAGACAGCTCAATGGCAAAGATGGCACCTGCTCTTGTAGAAGACCAGGTCTGGTTCCCACAGCCACACGGCAACACACATCTGTCAGGAGCTCCAGGGGACTCAACACCCTCTTTTGACCTCTGTGGGTACCACATACATAGCACACACACATATATAAATACTCATATCGCATAAAGGCCAAAATAAACTTCACACAATAAAAAATATATTATTATTTAAATTAAACAGCCAGGACAGAGGCTGTAGCTCAGTGGCAGTACAAGCTATGTGCACGGCCGTGGATTTAATCCCCAGCATGCCCAAACAATCCATAAGAGCACAAAATCAACGTGGGTATCTGTGTCGTTACACACTCCTTCCTAAAACTGACCTCCTAGAGAACTACACCTGTCAGAGGCCTATCGTCAAAATAGGCATAATACTTGCAGGCAAGATAAGGCTCACAAGTGAACCATTCTTAGCATTGACCTTTGCAAGTCAGAGGGTTTCCAAAATCTGTTTTCAACACTGGTAACTTTTTTCTTCCTCCAACTCAGAGATTTGATAGCCTCTGCCTCCCAAAAGGTAGGTGTTGTTTTAACAAAATCTCAATCGTTCAATTTTACCAGTTGGCTAGCTCAGAGAGACAGAAATCATGCAGCTGCCCTCCTTCTCCACCAACGTCCCAGAAGCCCCGTTCCCTTCACAGTCTCAAACTCAATGTCCCTCCCTTCTACCTCCTGTGTGTGTCTCTGTGTCCTCCTGACTCCCTCTTATACTCTATGGGTTTTCTTTGTTTTGTTTTTAAATAATCCTATGTTCACTTCCTGCCAACTGGTTGCTTGCTCCACCCCTTGACCTACAGTTGACTTTATTTAAACCTGCTTACAATATTCAAGTAGAAAGCTCTTGGATTAAAGGTGTGCGCTAGGGCTGAGCCACATCACAAGTAGAAACAGGTTTTTCCAATCTCGGGGTTCACAGTGGGATCAAATATCCTACAAAAGGTAGGATTAAAGGTATGTGCCACATAACCTGCTTTGACACTAGTAACATTAAGAATGTGTATATATGAGCCGGGCATTGGTGGCGCACGCATTTAATCCCAGCACTAGGGAGGCAGAGGCAGGCAGATCTCTGTGAGTTTGAGCCAGCCTGGTCTACAGAGAGCGTTCCAAGACAACCTTCAAAGCAATACAGAGAAGCCCTATCTTGAAAAACCTGAAAAAAAAATGTGTATATATGCATGTGTGTGTGTGTGTGTGTGTGATATACACTTTCTGCAAAAAAGCAGTAGGTTTTCTACTCATCTGTTACTATTTAAAAATCGGTAATAATTTATTACGTTTATATGATTTAGATTTCACCAGATCTATTTTAAAAGTAACCTAATTCCATTTTAAAAACCCATCAGGTGGTGAAAATATTTCACTTGCAACTATTAAACTCAAAACAATCTATATGACACCTTAAGACTGTCAAGACAGTTTAATAAGTACTGCAAGAGAGTACCAGAACATATTCATAGGGGACATGAAAGTTAGAAACTTGATAAAGACTACAGTGGGGCATTGTGGTTCATGTCTATCACTCCAGCACTCAGCAGAAAAAGGCAGGAGGATTGCTGCAAGTTTGAAGTCAACCTGCTCTGTGCAGCAAGTTCCAGGCTAGTCAAGGCTGACCGGCAAGACCGTCCTGAGGGGGGCCGGAGGGGAAAGATTACAGCACAGACCATTAGTGCACACTCCAAACACCAGGGTCTGCCGCCTCAATACTCAAGGTCTGAAACCAGCAGTCCTGAATCATCTGAAAGCCAATCAGAAACAGAGAAAAAAAGAAAGAGGAGAGAGGGAAAGACAGGGAGCCTCCTACGCCTCGACTGGCTCTCTGAAGCAGGCACTGCATTTAGTAAGAGCTACACAAGCTGCTTAGATCAACAATCCCAGGCAACTGGCCCACAAAACTGGAAAAACATCTGTTCAAATAGTCTTTATCCACCTAATAGAAGACTGCTCTCAGGCCAAGCTCCATTTATCTCTTAATGGTTAAAATACAGGACTTGAGATCTGACAGACCTGATCTGCTTCCTTACATCATTACTTAAGAGTTTAATTTTAAAAAAAAGTTTCATTTCTTTGCAATTCAGTGTCCTCACATGAAAAATGCCAGTGCACACATTTACTGAGGATTAAATTACAGGGAATATAAAATTAAATGAGTTCTTCTTTTTAAATGGGAGCTAAATTCTAGGCTCCAAGGAAAGCATCAAGAGCAGTAGGAAAAGCGCTGGTGTAAGTGTATGTAAAGGTCTGACCTGTGCAGCATGCAATCGCTGCTGCTTCATGTAGTCCTGCAGACGTTAACCCACTACAAGCCTTGTCAGCATCCACATTAGACTGTAAATGAAGGATGCCTTCTAAACCTATTACAGCAATGCTATAAGGAATTATTTCCACTAAACTCAACAGAAGTTCCTTAAGGTTTCCTATGTATGTGCTCCTCAATGAGACCACATTTTCTTGATCTGTAAGTCTCCAATATTCTGCCAATGCCAAAATACAAGTGCTCAGTACAGAGAACTATTTACACACACATGACAGACTGTGTATTAAATGAAAAAAAAAAAAAACAAAAGCAAACTAAAAGGAAGAGCCGGTTTCTTCTCATTTCCTCTTTGTCCCCATCTAATCTTAGTAAGGCATTAGGCACCCTGGCTCACACCTGTAGCTCAGCACCTGGAGGCTGCAGCAAGTCCTGAACCAGCCAGGGCTAACCAGCCAGAACCTGTCTACCAACAACAAATGAAATGAAGGGGGAGGAACAATGACCTGGTTTGGTTACTCACTCGTAGCTGTGTTCAGTCCTGGCACTTCTTTGCATTAAAGTGAAAGGCTCCAATGTGGTCCCACTTACCTACAGTTTCTATACGATCCTGAAGCCACGGGAAATGCATTCCCGGATGATTAGAGAACACCGAGTTTCCTCTCTTGCCATCCTCTGCCGAAGCAAGCTTTGTCAATTCTTCATCGAAATCGCTCATATCTATTCCAAACTGAGAGTATCAGTTAACTTCAGTACATGTTAATATACAAGCAACTGACTTGAGCAGGACCCATTGTGTCTGACAGCTCTTTTCAAGTAAATGCTGAATCCGTGTGAGTAACAACAGCCTAGACTGAAGTCCCACTGTTTAAAAAGAAGACTGGGGACCAGAGAGATGGCTGCTTTTCTAGAGGACCTGTGTTCCGTTCCCAGCACCCCTGTAACAGTTCATGACCTTCTAGAACCCTATTCCCAGGGCATCCCATGACCTTCTCAACAGGAATACACCTAGTGCACATACATGCAGGCAGACCCTCATACACATAAAATAAAAATTTTTTTTGGTTTTTACTAGACAGGGTTTCTCTGTATTGTTTTGGAGGCTATCGGTCCAGCCCGGCCTCGAACTCACAGAGATCCGCCTGCCTCTGCCTCCCGAGTGCTGGGATTAAAGGCGTGCACCACCACCGCCCGGCTAAAAATCGTTTTTAAAATCCTTAAAAATTAAAGAATACTCTACAGCTATGACTCAAGAACATACCAAAAAAGACACCCTTGGTTACAAAGTAAAAAGCTAAAGCTTCAGAAAGAAATCGAAGAATACATAACACAATATAACAAGTACAATAATAGCAGCAGCTAGTATTTACCGGGACTTAACTACATACTTAGCCTATACATTATCTAATCTAATCACAGCAGCAACCTTACAATGAAAACTGTAGGACTTGCTGGGCGGTGGTGGCAGAGGCAGGAGGATAGCTCTGTGAGTTGGAGGCCAGCCTGGTCTACAGAGTGAGTCCCAGGACAGGCTGCAAAGCTACACAGAGAAACCCTGTCTCAAAAAAAAAAGGAAAGATAGATAAAAGAACGGAAGGACTTAGACAAAATACGTAACTTAACCAAAAGGAGTGAAGACAATTGCCTAGGAAATGCGGAGCACAGACTAGCTGGTGTGACTAGGGGGTGGGCAGGGGGCCAAGGCAAACGAATGACCCTACAAAAGCAGCCGAGTGCCACTGAGCTTGGATTAGACGGTCAGAACGCTCAAGACCCCTGTTGTGTGTGTGTATCCAGTAGAGAAGCTTCTGGTACTACGACTTAGAATTCCACCAAGTGCCCCCCTCCTTTCTGCAGTCCTACGGCACCGCCCCAGTTCCGGACACCTTCAGAAGCGTCCAGGGCTCACGCACTGGCATTGCAACTTCTGCTTGTCATCTGCGCCGCTGGGGATGGAGCCCGGGACCTGAGCCTGCCGACTGACAACCGGTTTCTGCCTTCCGCAGTCTGGTTAGCGTGGGGGGTGAGTGGGTAATTTGCAGGGGTCCTCCCACCACGGATCGGGTTCACGCGGGTGGACGGCTACCGCTGCAACCTGCCTGGCCCGCTCCCTTTTGCTTCTCCGCCTTCGACGCAGACTGGACCTTTTCATGAAAGCCAAAGCCGACCGTGCGGCGCAAAAGCTCGCAATAGCACCTGAATGTGACCTCGACCCACCGCGTACGGGGAGAAGCCCTAACGCGAATCCTCCCCACGTCCTCGACCTGGACGACGCCGCGGCGGTTGCCCCGGTAACCAAAAACTTCACAGCCCGGGCGACTGGCTTTCCCTGAACCGAAGACCACAGGAAGTCACCAGGGAAGAGCAGGAGGAAAATGCGCGGCGCTCACGTACCTCTCCCTCGGAGTGCGGGGCGCACCGACCCCACGGGGGGAATACGACGCGATGCCCACACTCAACTCGTCCGCACGCCGCGGGCGACCAGGAAAAAACCCGCGCCGGAAGTCGCTAGCGAGCGCTTCCTGTGAGCTTGCGCATAACCAGCAGGGCTGGCACTCGGGTAGCGCGCATGAGTAGTCCCGCCCCTCCCTCGTGCGTGGCCTAGAGGGGAGCAGACGAGCCTAGCCAGCTCTCTAGCGGCTGCGGAACGTGGCCCGGAAGTGGATGTTAGCTTCTACTTCCCCGTTGGTTTGGCCGTGATTTGCACCTTAATCTGTGCCACCCTGGAAATGGAAGGTTTCCGTCGCAAGATCCGAGTGTGGCGAGGCGGGGTCACATAGCCGATCCTGATTGCTGCTCTGAAGATTATTTTTATTACTATTTATAGCATCTTGCTGCCTTCACAGTTTGAGCAAGAATCCATTTTTCCCTACCAACGTGGATTGTTGCAGGGATCGGCCTGGAGTCCACTTTCAAGAGGGACATTGACATACCTATATTAGTTATGGAGGTGGAGAGTGGAATTGTCAGGTCGTGTGAGAAGGGGCGCTGCTAGGGAAGATGGCCCTGAAGAATGGCCGGAGATGTATGGAAAAATACTCTTTAAAGGACTGATCTGTTAATGGACAGATTGTTACAGACATGTGAACAAGCATTGATGAGTAAAAGCTCAAGGGAGGCAACCTTAAAGTCACTGGAAGATAACTGTTCATAGTTGAGACTGCATAAACTGTGGAATGGACTCCTCCTAAACTCCGAATTTACTGCTTGAGAATAGAATCTGAGTTCCGTGGAAATTAGCAGGTCTATAAAAAGAGTGTATGTAGAGGTTTTGTTTTCTTAATGCTAGGGATATTTTATTCTATGTTTTCTTCATAAACAATACAGTAGGAGAAAAGTTATTTATACTGCTTTTGTGTCATTAGTCCTTGCCCTTAACCCTGTTTTGGGTTTTGTTTGTTTGTATGGGTTTTTTTTGGGGGGGGGGGTTCAAGACGGGTTTCTCTGTATTGTTTTGGGGGCTGTCCTGGAACTCGCTCTTGTAGACCAGGCTGGTCTCGAACTCACAGAGATCCACCTGCCTCTGCCTCCCGAGTGCTGGGATTAAAGGTGTGCATCACCAACGCCCTGCTTAAACCTGTACTTTTTAACTACAGACAAAACTAAATTAAAGGATGATGTCACACACTAAGACAGTGATTAGCTTGTCATCTGGAAGCTTGTTTCATCAAAATGAATCAACTGATTTTGTTTGTTTCTTCATGCTAATAAAAATAGGGGGAAAACTCAGTAGTGGTTGTTCACACCTTTAATCCCAGCACTTGGGAGGCAGGGACAGATGGATCTCTGAGTTTGAAGCCAGCCTGGTCTACAGAGTGAGTTCCAGCTTGGTCTACAGAGTGAGTTCCCGAGCTACAAAGAGAAACCCGACTCAAAACAAGGGGTGGGGGTGGGGGGCTTCTGATGTCAAGGTTTTCAAACAGCTCTTGATATTAGGAAATAAAAGTGAGGAAATCACTGTCTTTATATTGTTTACATACCGCTTCTCTTTCCCACAGTACAACTCTGAGTGACAATGTGGTGAGAAGAGCATGCACAAAAGCTTCCCAGACTCACACCATAAGAATGTATGTAACAAAGGAGAGGAAAATGTCCTCACAGTTGCTTTTCTCTAAAGGAGCAACTAAATAATGGTGATGAACTACATTTCCTAAAACCTTTTGAGGTGTCTTGGAAAACATTATTCCCATGAACCTTTTCTATAGAAAAAAAAAGCTAAATATAATCAAGCAATTGAAAAACAAACTACACTACAATATCATAGTATGGGTTAAAAGCGAATGTGGCAAAAATAGTAGTGTAAAAAACAAAGCTAACTTGCATTGTAGTATAGAGAAAACTTTATCCAGCTATAGCTTCCCTGAACTACATGGGTGAGGATCCTACAATAGGCTGAGACTTGGGGAAAACTGCTCTAAAAGACACAAGTTCACTTTTTCCCTCCTTGCTTGGTACCCCAAGCTTAAAAACAAAACAAAAAAAGCTTCTGTGGTATTAGCATCATAAAGAACACACAAGTATCACTCAATACCTGGGTTTTGAATTCTAGACACATGAGGAAGTTAAAAAGGTGGTTGTCTCTGATGTTAGAGCAGTTATTGGCTGAAACCAACCACATGAGTGGTTCCAGTTCAGCAACAAATGTAGCAGAATCCAGCTAAACCCTACACAAATTCCCAGTTCAAACGGCCCAATAAAATGGCGGTTATCATTAGATGACAAGTTTTGGTGGTTTGGGCTAAGAAAATATAACGTGGCCGGGCGGTGGTGGCACACGCCTTTAATCCCAGCACTCGGGAGGCTGAGGCAAACGGATCTCTGTTAGTTCGAGGCCAGGCTGGACCGATAGCCTCCAAAACAATACAGAGAAACCCTGTCTCGTAAAAACAAAAACAAAAAAAAAAAAAGAAAAGAAAATATAACAAAAATGGTACTAAAGCAATTCTGGGCTTTAAGATGCCTTACACTTCTGGGTTTTAGTGGGAAGAGGACTCCAGTCAACAAGTTTAAGATAGATGACTGGATAACAGGTCTATTTCAGTCAGTGTAACCACGACAACAAAACTGCTAGTCAATGATATGAAGCTATTTTAACCCAGCTCATAGCTGAAGGAAGTGATGTGAGTGACCCCAATCAGTAACCCATACACTAGAAGACAAGACATAGACTAGGGAGAAATAAATGATGTTAAGCCACTGAATGCATTACATAGGATAGATGAAGTGTTATCTGTTTCCACATGGTGAGTCAACCTTAATTCTGGAGTTCCCTTTAGCATAGCTAGTAGTGAAGTCCTGTTGCTTTTCATTTCAGCCTTGAAGAATACTTATACTGAACCAGCAGGGATTTTTTGCTGTCAGCTCTTTAAACCTTCCCGTTGACTTTTAGTCTCATTTTCAAGGAGACTAAAGTTTAACTGTGTTTACTGATTGACAGTGTGGCTGGTTGTCTCTGGTTGCTTTCACCCCCTCCACTTGGTTATTTAGAGGCAGTAGTATACTGATCTATGTATGAATCTTTTTATTAGATGTTATATGCACTGAGTCTCCTAGACTCATCAATTTCTTGTTTGTTAATTGCAAATTTTTAAACCATTTCGCCTCAAATTTCTATTCAGTTATGTCCCTGTTTTCAAACACTTTGAGCATTTCTAATAATATATTTGTAATGCCACTAAGTATTAAGGAATTGTAATAAAATATCTGCTCAGTTTTTTTTTTCTTTCGATAATTAGACCTGATAATTCCTATTGGTCTGTTTTTAAATTGACTTTTGGTTAGTTGGCAATGTAGAATCTTCTGATAAGCCTGTTAAATTATTTTTTCACTTAAAATACTGTTTATTATTTGAAGTTTTTTAAAAGAAATGTTTCATTTAAATGTTGATATGCCATATTTGTTCATTACGACTATGCTTTCCATTAAGTCTTTGGAGTAATTTTTTTCTTTTGAGACAAAGTCTCACTGTGTAGCTCTGGCTGTCCTGGAACTCACCATGCAGACCAGGATGGCCTCAAACTTGGAATTAAGGGTATGTGCCACTACACCCATTTTGTGGAATAACTTAAATTTTATTTTAGCCAATTCTTATGTGGATAATCTCAGAAATGTCTTATTATTTATGACTTTTTTCTTTTAAAATTTCATTTTCCTAATTCTTTGCAATCTCATAGGGCCTAATTCTACTGTGAACATTTACAGACTACAGGGAGTTTATATTGTCTTTCTCTAAAATGGGTTGTAATGGTTAATGTTATTTCTCAATCTGATTTCATTAAACTGCCCAGAAAGAGGGTATCTGATGGTGTTTCCCGAGACAGATCATCAAGGCTTTCAACTATGGATTGATCCCTTAATGGATTCCTAATATTATCATACCAAGAAGTAGAAGGCTAGCCCTCTGGAGGCAGGTGGATTTGTGAGTTCAAGGCCAGCCTAGTCTACAGAATGAGTTCCAGGACAGACAGGGGAACACAGAGAAACCCTGTATCGAAAAACAAAACAAACAAACAGAAAGTAGGAGGCAGGGTCCAGGGGTAGAGTTTGTTACTGGGGCACATTCTTAGTCTGCACCTCTCTCTGCTCTTCCTAGGCAACACGAGATGAAGAATTTCCTGTTACATAGTCCTGCCACTATGAGATGTTGCCCCAGCACATGGAGCTATGCCACCGTGAACCTACTGAAACAGTGAGCAAATTAAACTCCTCGTCTTTAAGATGTTTGTGACAGTGAAAGGCATTTTGTCATAGTGATGGGGAAGCTAACGACACACTCAGATATTATTTGTCCGTATCGTGAGGATCAGTCACTAGAGGAGTCTGCAAGTTCTTCATGTTCAGCATGAGTGGGTTTTAGTTTCTGACTTAATTCTGCTATTCCCATACTCCTTCATGTTTATTCTTTCTGATAAAGGTTTGTGGGGAACTGTGGGAATACTTAAGGTGTAATGACAGTTTTGTTTTTGTTTTTTCAGAATAGTTGGAAAGGATGTTTCATGAATGGGATAAACATTATGGTTTTGCATAATTCCACAATTACCTAGTATCTTAAGAGGATATACCTTTATAAGAGAGTGTGACTAAAAATACTTTAAGACCTAAAACACAATATTAAGCTTTGTTTGATCTTTTTTTGTTTATTTGTGTGTTTGGTTGTTTGGTTGATTGGTTGGTTTCAACACAGTATTTTTCTGTGCAACAGCTCTGGCTGTCCTAGAACTCACTTTGTAGACAAGGCTGGCATCAAACTCATAGAGATCCTCCTGCCTCTGCCGTGTGCCACCACCACCCAGGACTTTTTTGTTTTTAATAAATTTGTAAAAATAATTCATGTTGTAATGTTAATTTTTAAAAAGATTTTATGCTGCGTGTTGGTAGTGCATGCCTTTAGCCCCAACCCTTGGGAGGCAGAGGCAGGCAGATCTCTGTGAGTTCAAGGCCAGCCTGCTCTACAGAGAGAGTTCTAGGACATCTAGGGCCTTTACACAGAGAAACCCTGTCTCAAAAAACAAAAAAACCAAAACCAAAACTGAAACCAAAACAAATAAAAAAGATTATCTTTGTAATCATGAGTGTCTCTGTGTGTGTATGTATACATGAATGAAGTTGCCAAAGAGGCCAGAAGAGGTCGTCACTTCCCGGGGAATTGGAGTTATCAGTGGCTGTAAGCTGCCTGGCATGGGTGCTGGGAACCAAACTTGGGTCTTCTGTGAGACCACTATGCACTCTTAACAGCTGAGCCATCTCTCCAGTCCTGAAAGTTAATTTGTAACCACAATTTTCTAGTGCTATGTCCACATTTAAATATGACTAATCTGATTTTGTTTTTTTTTTTCAAGACAGGGTTTCTCTGTGTAACTGAGCTCTGGCTGTCCTGTAAACCATTCTGTATACCAGGCAGGCCTTGAACTCCTAGAGATCTGCTTGCCTCTTCGTCCTGAATGCTAAGATTGTTTATAGGCATGTGCCACCACCTCCTGGCAAGATGTACTTTGTTCTTTTTTGTTGTTGTTGTTTTTGTTTTTCGAGACAGGGTTTCTCTGTATTGTTTTGGAGGCTATCCTGGAACTTGCTTTGTAGACCAGGTTGGCCTCTAACTCACAGAGATCCATCTGCCTCTGCCTCACGAGTACTGGGATTAAAGGTGTGTGCCACCAACGCCCGGCCGATGTACTTTGTTCTTATATCCTGATCCACTTGAGGACAAGTTGTAGAAAAGCATTAACCTATTGATGGCTCAGAGTGTATAATCCTTTAAAAGTTATTTTGTATTTACTTTTTTAAATTTCTTTTTGAGATAGGCTCTCACTATGTAGCCTTAGCTGGCCTACAACTGCTAGTATGGAACTCAGAAAGATTTACCTGCCTCTGTCTTTGCCTCTGCCTCATTGCTAAGATTAGAAGTGTGCCACCATACCTAGTCCCATTTCTATCCATTATTACCATAGCACAATCATTAACAGAGTGGACAAGTCAATCTCCTGAAGAAGAAGGCACCTTTAATGTCTTGCCCTGACAATATGCTGCCAGGAGATTTTCTCCAGGGTAAAACATTCCTTCCTAGAGAGAGAGGCTTGAGAGACCCAAAAAGTAATGCAGGAGAATGGAGAGGCCCAGAGTATACTTTCCAACCTAGCAAGATGCCTATAAGGTATGTGGAAAGCTCCAGGGCTGCAGCTTCTCAAGCTCATCCATGCTGGGGATGACTTTTCAGAGGCATGGCTGCCTGTGTGTCACCCATGCTCTGGAGAGGAACCTCAGTAGCTCACAGGTTCACCAAGGTGGACTTGGGTATGATTACTGCTTCTGTCACTAGATCCCTGCCTGGGGTTGTGTGCAATGAGCATTCTTCCTGCTAGCCTGGTCCCAGTGCTGCATCAACCCAAATAACACACAAAGACTCTATTAGTTACAATGCTGTTGGCCAATGTCCAGGGCTTCTCATTGGCTAATTCTGTCTTAAGTATTAACCCATGAGTACTAATATATATTTCTATAAGGACTTATCTTTCCGAGGACACCATTCTGACATGTCCTCTCTTCCCTAGATCACATGGCAACCATCTACTCTTGACTACTTTTCCCAGAATACTCCTTGACTCCTTGTCCCACCTATCTTGCTTCCCTATTGGCCAGCAGTGCTTTATTTATCAACCAATAAGACAAACATGCACAAAAGGACTTCCCCCATCAGTTGTGTCTCTGGGATAAACTTCTGTGCCGTGGCTCCCCAGGGAAAGTCTCATACAGCAGTAACTCAATACCTCTCCTTATGCTATCCTTATAGCATTCTTTACCTGAGTCCAGGATATTGTACCTGGACATTATTCTGGCTTCCCTAGCTCTGAACCTAACCTGATCCCTGATATGTCAGCTCATTTAGGCAACTAAATACTAAAAAACTAAAGCTGCTCCACAGTCTGAGAAACTTGAAAAAGAAACAAAAACCTCTATGCTTACTCAAGGAATAATACCTTGGAGGTTGTATTCAGGGAAATTTCAAGCCTAGAAGCTATTACAAGGCAGACATAATAGTGTAGTTGAAGCAACGCAATGCACTTTTGAATGAGACATTGTTGGAGCTCACTGTGGGTTTTGGTTTTTGTTTTCAAGACAGCAATATTGCTTTGTAGACCAGGCTGGCCTCCCCACCTTGGCCTCCCAAGTACTGGGATTGCAGGGGTATGCCCCAAGACCCATACACATGCCGTATAAGGACTTCCTAGCCATGGTGCTGAGTCAGCAGGGAGCACAGGACTCCTTCAAGGTTAAGGTGAACAAGCTGGTCTACATGACAAAAGAAAAAGGATGGGAAATGAAAGGAGGGAGGGAGGGAGGGAGGGAGGGGAGAGGGAGGGAGGGAGGGAGGGAGGGAGGAAGGAAGGGAATTGCCTCATGATAGGACAGAGATCTCATTTTTAAAATTACCATACAAAATTCTACAGTGTTCTGTTCCTCAGGAAAACAAATATGAGGACTGGTGAGGTGTCTTCAGCAGGAAAAAACACACACCACAAAAGCCTAGTAACCTGAGGTTGATCCCAGGAACCATGGTGGAAGGAGAGAACCAGCTCCCAAAAGTTGATGCATATGTGTGTGCATACACACAGCAATAATCAAGTCATTGTTTTTCAAAGAAATAAAACCTGAAACTTCTCGTGGACCAGGTGGAGTGATCTAATGGTGTCTGTTATACTAGGGACATCTTCCATTTGCCAAAGCTGAAAACTCTAGAAAATAGTGTATTAACTTGTATTTTACTTTATCCTTCAAGAAATTGCCATATTCTCCTGCATTGATCACACCTTCATTAAATCAATGTTTAGTTACAGGAATGGGCTTTTCTGTAGTTTAAAGTTTGTCTAAATAGAAAAACAAAGATTCTACTTTCTAATCTTGGATTATAGTTTAAAATCCTTATGGGAATAAAATGGCAATTCAGTTTTGTTTTGATTTTTTTTGGCAAATCAGTATTTATATAGACACTAAGCATATCTAATTACTGAGCTAAAATGAAGTTTTGTGAGAAAAAACAACCTTTAAATTTTTTATGTACAAGATGTAAAGATTTTAAATTGTATTTGTAAGTGGTAACTAAATTTTTGTTAGTCAGCTCTTCTGGGGATCAGGAACAAGGGAAGTAGCTGTTCTCATACACAGCCTCTCTTGCTGTCATTCACCCATCCCTTCACGTGTTCTCCATGTTTCACATCCCATGGGGGCTTACATAGGAGTAGGCTTTCACACTAGTCACTGAAAACTCTCACTTTTCCCGTTCATAGTCGCTTATTGTTCAGTCTTCATGTAAGGGCATTTATGGTCCTATTTATAATTGTGTTGCATGCACCAATTGAAATGCAAATACCTCCAGATATTTGCTTTGTTCCTTTGTATCAGTCACTTGTGGTTGTATACTACCCTAAAAAACTATTTTCTTGGGGTTGGGGAGTTGGCTCAGCAGTTAAGAGCACAAACTGATTTTATAGAGAACCAGAGTTCAGTTCCCAGCACCCACATCAGGTGTCTTCCAACTGCCTATAACTCCAACTTCAAGGGAGCCGACGACCTAGACTCACTTTCACAAGCGCCTGTATTCACATGCACATACTCACACAAAGAGACAGGCAAACATGCACATACTTAAAAATAAGCCGTTTTTAAAAATGTTTTCTTTTCCTTGGGTGTAGAGAGAAGACTTTTCCTTGCCAGCCGCTTGGTTTTTCCCCACCAGTCGCCTGGGCTCTGCCGTGTTGTAGTCCCCAAATAACACACAAAGACACTGTATTAATTATGAAGCTGTTGGCTTTGCTTGTTTCTTACTGGCTAGCTCTGACTTAAGTATTTATCCCATAATTGTCAATCTAAGTATTTCTCTTACTGGAGAAGAGTTCCGGACATCTTACTTCTCTGGCGGGCTACATCGTGACTCCCTGCGTTTCTCCTACCCAGAGTCCTCCTGGACTCTTAGTCCCACCTATCTTGCTTCCCTATTGGCCAACAGTGCTTTATTGACATATACACAGGACTTCCACATCACTTGGGTCTTAGGGTCTCCTCCACAAAGTGCCTTTGATCTTCCTAGCAAGCTTGGAAGGACATTCCTGGTCTCTGAATGAGAACATTTTCTGGGGTAGCACGGTCCAAACATATTTCCTTCATCGAGTCACTGTTTGCCAAGACTTGTTGCAG